CATAATCGGTCCCCTTCTCGCCCGATTTCGTCCAGGATCGGGCGGGCTTTACATTTTCCCGCTGCCACCTACTTCGCCAGCTTCTGCAATAGCCCTCACTCCCTCGTCGCTGCCCTCTGTCTACTTCTGCGCCTGCACCTGGCCCAGAAGTCCGTCCAAATTCATCCACCTCCCTTGGCCCTTGTCGGTGCTCCGCTCTCGCTGCCTTCCTTCTCCCCTACTACTCAGTGTTAACACCCGCGGTGACTTCCCTCCTACCGCCCATCATCTCTCGCTTTCCCCTCTTGCTGCCACCCCCGACTTCTTCCTCTTTGTGCATGTACCTGGTGCAGAACCCCGCCCAGGTTCTTCCCCACACTACCGGCATCTCGCCTCAGAGCCCGTCCTCCACAGCGCTCCGCTTCCCCTTCACTCCCACTGCGCCCTCTCATTCACCATTTTCTCCTCACCTTCTCCTCGCTAACGCCCCGCTCTCCCCTCCAGCGCTGCCCGTCACCTCCGTCTGGCTCGCCTCCATCGGTGCCAACTCCGGTTCACAGCGCACGCTCACATGGCCGTGCGCTAACTTGTTCAACAGCTCGTGTTCATCCTACGGGAAACTTCGGAGGGGAACCAGCTACTACTAGGCGGGTCGGCTAGTCTCTCGTCCTTATACCTAGGTCCGACGAACGATTTGCACGCCAGACTCGCTGCTGCTGCCTCCCAGTCCGACAAGCATCTAGCTCGGCTGTGCAGCAAGTCCACCACTGCGCTCCGGGCATACTGCGCACGGACCCGGCCCCCCTCAACGGCTAGGTTCATACGAGCGTAGCGTGCTACTACGTGCAAGTCCCTCCTGCGCACGGGGCATGCTAATCTTCTCTGCATGGTTCTAATTTTAACTGATGTCCCGAAGGACCGGGCCACTGTATCTGCACTTCCACAGTTCAGTGGTGTATCCACTGAACGAGGCTCCTTGCCTTCACGGCCGGCCCCAGCACCGGCACCGGCCACGCCCCATCTGGGAAAAAAAACAAAGGAATAATAAAAAATAAAATAAATAACTTTAAAAAAACTTAGAAATCTGAAAAAACGGCTGAGGGGGAGGAGGACCGTTGGCACTTGGTCCTCGGTCCTGCCTATCGGGCCCGCCGTCGGACTCCCCAACAAAACTAAAAGGGATAATCCCACAAGACCCTCAACCCCTCAGCACGCTCCACCATGCTCCTCCGCAGCTTTGCTGCTTGCTGCTGGCCTCAATCTGAGGATCCACCTGGTGAAAGTCCAATGCTGTAACCTATAGGACTAAGCCCAAGCCTAGACTGAGGGTCGGCCACCGTAATGGTGGCCAGCCTGGGCCTGCGGCAGCCGCGTTAAGGCTGCCACTTGACTTCCCCTTCAATCCCACGGCCCCGTACGCGCGCACATGCCATCAGGGACTGGGTCTTGCTCGGCATGTCTCGCTGGTATGCCCCCCCCATAGTGCTGCGCGGAGGCCGCTTCTTGCGTCCGTGGTTCCTAAGCACCGGCCCTGCCGGATGAAGGGGTAAGTTTTCCCCTTTTGCTACCGTCGCACATGCAGCACAAGTGTGCCGCCGCCTAGCAAATCTACTTCCGATGGCGCATGCCGTATGAACGCAGGCGCCCCATGGTCAATCCAAATAAAGGAAAACTTTCCCTAGTTTTAATCAAAGCCATAATTTTTGCCGGCGGAAACGCCGACCCTATAGCATAAAAAATGAAGCTCATCACGCGCGCCTCAAAACCGCGCACCCACACATCCCCTACTCTAATTGAGCACCCTACCTACGCAACCAACAGACTTAGGCGCGTCTCACGCGGCACACTTTAGACCTTTACTCTTACTTCCGGTCATTTGCAAAAACTAGGGCGGATACCCTTGTCAGGGTACTCGCACTGACAGCGTTGACGAGACTTCGTCCTCGGGCGTCGTAGGCTGACTTGAGCAACGGACAACAACCCATTGACCTACTACAAAACGGAAGACACGCTGAGTAACACGATTGCTCGGTAGATGTACTGGATTGACCAATTCGACTTCACACCGAAGCACATTTCGGGTCTCTCAAACTTAGTTGTGGATGCTCTCTCACGAAGATCGGATCTTTGCGCAGCAATCCATCATGCGTTCAACTTCGACAATGACCTTCATCAACATTTTGTGCACGCATACAAATTGGATCCGGAATACACCAGTCTCCACGAGCAACTTTCTTCAGATCACCCGCCGGCCAGCCACTATTGCATTGCTGACGGCTACTTGTGTCTCCATTCACGAGGCAAGGACTAACTATGCGTCCCACAACACCGTCGACTACTGATTCGCCTTCTCAACAAGTACCACTCGCCGAACACTTTGGAATCAACCGTCCGCCAAGGATTCCGGTGGCCTGACCACATTACCGATGTCACCCGGTATTGCGAATCCTGCAAAGTTTCCCGACGAAGCAGACCCTGCAGCCACAACCCCTATGGCTAGGTGCGCCCATTGCCTATCCCTCGGGAAACCGGCCTCTTCGTTGCTATGGTCCTATGGATGTTACCAGCCCATTCCCCCGCGATCGCTTCGGACACGAAGGCATTCTCATGGGCATTGACCATGTGAGTAAGTACGCGCGATTTCTTCCTTGCAAGTATCATGCCACGGCTCCTTTGTTTCGATCTTTGTCCTTTGTGTTTTCTAACCCCTTCTTTGTCGTTTGTTTTTTCTAACCCCTTCTTCCTTTTTTTTTTTTTGAAGTTTTTTTTTACGTTTGACGTATTTGGGATGGACAATGGGCATTGCACATTTTGGTGGTGCAACACACTGACACATACTTAGATTCGAATGACCAGAGCGCGGTGAATTAGACAAAACAAAAAAAAGTCTTAGAGAGAGAGACATGACACACGCAGCTTTGAACAAAAAAGAGAGAGAAACTGAGAAAGACATGGAGAGAGAGAGAGAGAAAGAGAGAGAGAGAGTGTTACATACTTCAATGAGTATGGGCAGAACCAAAGATCAACCAATGTAGGATGAGCATATATGCAGCTGAAGTCTGATAAACGGACTGACTCACATAGACTGCCTCACACGGACTGACTCAAGAATCACTCCACACACATACAATCGTGAGATGGTGGGGTCTGGGCCAAGCATAGACGATGCCCAGACCTCGTACACGCATACACAGATGAGAGGTGGGAGGAGAGACGAAGGAGGTGGGGGGAGGTAGACAGCACCGAAGGTCACCGAGATAGAATCCGATAGGTCACCGATATGGTAGTCCAAAATGTCATCCAACAAGATCAAAATGTCGAGGACAATAGGTCACCAATGTCGGAGGTACAGAGTCCAAATGTAACCAGTGTCCGAACTGTGATGCAGCCGAGTATCAACCCCAACAATCTCCAAGTCTCCAATCCGGTAAGTACCACAGTCTCATACCACCAAAGTCCAATACTGATCTCTGTCCAACTAGTATAAGTCTCCAATCTGAAGAAGAAGAAGAA